CCCTCCTTTTTCTCTAATTTTGGTCTGCAAACTTAGGTTGTTAACCATCCAGAAGACAAGCTTATTGTTATTACCATACAACTTAAGCTGTTAAGCTTAACCTCACTATCTATCTGCATATCAAACATCTTAGGCATAATATGGAACAGATATTTTTCATCAAGTATTGATATGTTGAACTTTAAGTCCCTATAGAATATGATAAACATTTAAAAATTAGAATATATTTTAAAAATAGGCATAAAGAATTATATACTTCTTACGTTTACACATAAGTCCAAAAACCTTACCATATACAACCTTGAAGCAGGACAGTCCCACAATATTCCTTTTCCTGTCTCTTGCTTTCATTCACCACCCCCTTCTGATCTGCCTGTTTACAGCCTACCAAGAGCTGGGATTACAGGGGTGCACCACCAGGCCCAGTCTCAGTTGCCTTCTCAGTATGCCCGGGGTGGGGCTGGCACAGCAGGCCCCTGGATTGAACTCCTGGCCCCTACAGGCGCTTTAATCCGCTGAGCTATTTGATCCCCTGAGCTATTTGACTGGCCTTTCTGGGTTTTTTGTGGAACCAGGGATTGAACTCAGACCCTTGTGCTTGCCAAGGAAGCACTTATTCCACTGAGCCATCTCCCCGGCCCATTTTGGTGTTTTTTTTTTTGAAACAAGGTTTTGGTATGTATCTCGTCATGCATCCTAGGCTGGCCTTGAACTTCTTGGCTAAGCCTCCCAAGTGCTGGGACTACAGGTATATGCCACCACACCTGCTCTTAGTTTTTGGAACCAGGCACATTTTGATAGTGATGTGAGAACATTTGTGACTCTTAGTGGAGTTACCTGTAGATCCATCCTGTCTCCCATCACAGAATAGGTGAAAATCTGTCATTTATTCTCCTAAAAATCTGAGATGAGCCAACCTTCCTGAGCCCTGCAGCCCTCTTCCTCCCTATGGGGATGACTGGCATCTGTAGAACATACCTGGAAGTCTCAGGCCCTATCCCATATTTCTCACAGACATCACCAGTGTTATGGCCTACCTGTCTAAAGAGTCAGACAGGCTGTGCACTGACTGCGGTATTGAGAGCTAGCCATTTAACAAGGTAAGCCTGAAATTGTCCCAGTCTGGGATGCTGGTTTCTGTAAATGGCAAACACTGAAATCTCTGTCGTCATCCATGAATATAGATTTAAAATTAATATTTAAGTCAGAGTCGGGATTATTAGGAAAACATCAGTTATGAAAAGCATATTATTTCTATGTACTCATTGTTCATGTTCTAGTGTTGGCTCTGCTGATCTTATACATGCTTTTAGAACAAGTGCAAATTAAATTCTGTAGCATTTGTCACGTCCAGTTAGGGTAGAGAGAAAGCAGCTCTTCTGTTTTCTTTCCAACTGTGTCATGTGTTACTGAGGGTAGTTTGTTAAAACTTAAGCATAAAAATCAGAGCTGAAGAATTCACTTCTGCGTGATGGTGTGGATGTAGGAGGTGGCAGTGAAAACAGTACTGCAGAATGTAGTGTGTGCCTGAGAAGCTCACAGGATGAGCATTGAGATCACTATTTTCCTATCAGCACTTTTTTCTTTTTCTTTTTGCTTTTGAAACAGTCTTGCGATGTAATTCAGGCCGTGAACTCACTTCATAGCCCAGCTTGGCTTTGAACTAAGCGATTATCCTGCCTCAGCCTTCTGAGTGTTGGTATTATTATAATGTGTGCTAATTTTGTGCTCTCGTTACTTTGTAAAACTTCTGTAATTTTTTCCATTACAGGAACTCTCATGATCCTCAAGTCGGCATGTAGCAACAACCCAAGTTACATTGACAGGCTCATCTCTGTTTTTATGCGCTCCCTGCAGAAGATGGTCCGAGAGCATCTAAATCCACAGGCAGCATCTGGGAGCACAGAAGCAACAGCGGGTGATAACCTGATTCCCTTGTTTCCCTAGTCTCTGCTGAACACCTAAGCAAAACAGGCTAAGTGGTTAAACTCTGACTGTGGATTAACGTGAAGTCCTGTTATTTATGTAGAATTTGTTACAACCACTCTATAGCAGAGGTTTTAAAATCAAAACAAAGTTCACTATAAAAACCTGCATTTAAAATTTGTGGATGTAGGGCCGGCCAAATAGCTCAGCGGATTAAAGCGCCTGAAAGCAGACACAGGGGCCAGGGGTTCAATTCCCAGGCCTGCCGTGTGGGCCCCGCCCCCAGGGTGCACTGAGGCTGGGCAGTTGAGACTGGGCGTGGTGGTACATGCCTGTAATCCCAGCTCTTGGGAGGCTGTAAACAGGCAGATCACTACGAGTCTGATCTAGAAGTGAGACCCTGAACACCCTGTAGACTTTGCCCTAAAACACAAAAATAAAATAAAACTTGTGGATGTAAGAATACAAAAAATTTTAAAGTGGTTGCACTCTTATGTGAAACCTTCACCATTAAGTGAGGATTAACAAATTTCTGCAGAAAGGAGACTGCTTATTCAGAGCTGCCCTTTCTGAAGAATTAAGTCACAGGTTCCAGAAGATAGTCATGGGCTGTAGATAGGTCTCCAGTTGACAGGGAGTCATGGTTGGCATGGCTTCTAGATGTGCTTCAGGACCTAACTATGCTGTGAGTGTGGCTTCAGGTGTGGAGAGGCTGGGATGGCCTACATGGGCCCTGTCAGTTGTCATCCTCCTTTGTGGGCAGAGCTTTTAAGAAGGTTGTTCTTGGAAGGTGCATCAGTAAATGATGAGTCCTTCAAATCCAGAGTTCTAGTTATTGGAGATAGGATCTGGAGGGAAAATGGATAGAACCTAGCATGCCAGGTAATGTTTGGTAGTGGCACTTGTAGGATTTGTAGAGATTTGTTAAAATGTGTTCTCTGTTTCCATGTGAACAGGAACAAGTGAGCTGGTGATGCTGAGTCTGGAACTGGTGAAGACACGGCTGGCTGTGATGAGCATGGAGATGCGCAAGAACTTCATCCAGGCCATTCTGACATCCCTCATTGAAAAGTCTCCAGATGCCAAAATCCTTCGGGCTGTGGTGAAAATTGTAGAAGAATGGGTTAAGAATAATTCTCCCATGGCAGCCAATCAGGTGAGTTGGGAGAGGCATTACGCTTTGCCCCAAATAACCCTCCTTTGAATGCAGGGAAAAATTAAAGCATCACCTTCTTGAGTTTTTCCTTTCTTGGTACCTAGAATTGAACTCAAAACCTTGTGTTTGCTGGGCAGGCACTTGTGTCACTGAGCTGTATCCCTCACTCTTCATTTTTTTGCTCTTCTGGAACTTTTTGAAGCAAATTTTTTTTTAATATTTGGCAGCCTGTGTGCCTTTGTAATTCACTCGGTGCGTTTAACAAACTTGAGGTTGACCAGTTTCTCGTGTTAATTGTGGCTTCTATTAAAATCTTAAGTGACTCTTTTTTTTTTTTTTTTTTTTTATGGTGGTTAGATGTAAGCTAGAAAATAATAGTATAGGAATAATAAAGGATTATTATTTAACTTAATGAGAGGCTCTCAAACTACCGATTTTTACAGTTTAGTTATTTTTTCTGCAAAGTGAATCATAGCCTCTTTGAAAATTATTGGCATGTCTTGATTTTAAGCATGCAGAGATAACTGAAGACATCTTTGTTTTCTATTTAGAAATAATTTTGTCTTACTGTAATTGATAAAATTGAGGAAATGTGAAAAATAGTAGAGCAGATGGCTGAAATACTTATAAATATGCCTTTTCTCAACCAGAAGTAAATAACCTTTTGTTTTACCAAACCAATTTGTACAGACACCTACACTCCGGGAGAAGTCTATCTTGCTTGTGAAAATGATGACCTACATAGAAAAACGTTTCCCAGAAGACCTTGAGTTAAATGCCCAGTTTTTGGACCTTGTTAACTATGTCTACAGGTAATTACAGCAGTTCATCAATGTTGCATACTTAGCCCATCTCATCTCTAACTAGCCTACACAGTGTAATTTAGGCTTTTACTTACACATAAGCTAAAAATAATCATTTAAATACTAAATCATGCCACCATTTTGTCATCATCTTTGAACCTTTTGCTGAAATGTGGCTTAGGCCTGCCATAACTGCTAACCTTTGGCTACAATAGTGGCATTTCCCAAAACCAGTTATCTACCCATTCTCTGCTTGTTTGTTTATGGCTTGAGCAGCAATTGTCTGGCCCGCTTTTATGTCTTGATGTTCTTCTCTGATTACAGGGATGAGGCCCTATCTGGCAGTGAGCTGACTGCGAAGCTTGAGCCTGCCTTTCTCTCAGGGCTGCGTTGTGCCCAGCCACTCATCAGGGCAAAGTTCTTTGAAGTTTTTGACAATTCTATGAAGCGCCGGGTATATGAGCGCCTGCTGTATGTGACCTGTTCCCAGAATTGGGAGGCCATGGGGAACCATTTTTGGATCAAGCAGTGCATTGAGGTAGGATGGACTGAGCTCACCATTGGTGGGTGGAATGGGGCAGTGTAGTTTTTCTTTGTGTGTGTGTGTGTGTGTGTGTGTGTGTGTGTGTGTGTGTGTGGAGGGTAGGGTCTACAGGATGTTCAAAGTCTCACTGCTAGATCGGAATCGTAGTGATCTGCCTGTTTACAGCCTCCCAAGAGCTGGGATTACGGGTGTGTGCTGCCATGCCCAGTCTCATTTGCTGTCTGAGCATGCGGGGCGGGGGGGGCAGTACAGGAGGCCTGGGGATTGAACCCCTGGCCTCTGCGCCTGGTGCTTTAATCCACTGAGCTATTTGGCCAGCCCAGTGTGGGTTTTCAGAATGTCATGGAAGCCAAACCATGTACTGTGATTGTCATTTCTTACTCCTTTTTTTTTTTTCTCCCTGGTACCATGGATTGAACTCAGGGCCCTGTGCTTGCCAGGCAGGTGCTTTTTCCACTGAGCTTTCTCCCAAGCCTCGTTTCTTATTCTTAAAGTATAAAGATAGAGCAGCCTAACAGTTGGTTTTAAATCCTTAGTGCAAGGAGATAGATGCTAGGAACACAGGTTATTCTGGGTCCAGACCGAGCAGGATCGGCATTTCATAGGCAGGTCCATGGGATGTTCCCTATGCAGGTGGCAAAATGGTAGTGAGATTTCTTGTGTGCTGGTTCCCTGGATTATCCTTCATTCTTTGGCTTGTTCATCAATTTCAAACTCAAGGCAACTTAGTAGCAGGCTACCAGTGCTTACCTAAAATGAATGAAACCAGGTTGCCACTTGGAGACAACTGAGGCAGAAGGTTAAGTCCATCCAAATGCAAAGGAAGGGAACTATGAGACTAGGTCTTAGGAAGAGATTATTACTGTTTTTTGTTTGTGCTGAATGGATGTTATGTCAGGGCCAGGTGCAGTATGGAATGAAATTGTGTGGCAGCTACACGGAATCGATTAGAGAAAGAACTCGAGCTAAGATCCTTGGTCCTTTGCTGCTTAGTCCCCATGTACCTGGTCAGCCTCTGGAGTTACCAATTGAAAGCCATTCTGCAGCTATTATCATTCTTCTGCTTCCCAAGCACTAAGGCCACAGCTTCCTCAGTGCTCACTTCCCTGCCCTCTTGTCTACCACTGTTTCCCCTATTGCTGCAAAATTGTTCATAGCAGAGCACATGACTCCCTGCCCTTAACACAAAGCCCAACCTCGTGGTTAGGCCTTATAGGCCCTGTGATTGCACTCTTGCCTCCCCTTCCAGCCTTATCCTGTCTCTTTTTCTTTCTCTCTAGTGGTCTCCCGTCAAGCTCATCTGTGACTTTTTTTTGGTTTTTGGATTTTTTGGAGACAGAGTCTCACTGGCTCAGACTGGCCTTGGCTTTACGGTTATGCTCCTCTCTCAGCTGCTGAAGTGCTAGGAGCATTAGGCATGTGCCACAATTTGCTGTTTGCTCCTTTCTTTAAAGTTTTTCAGTTGATGATTTGTTACTTTATATACTGATAGGGTACAAGGTGATGTTACAGTTTATGAATATAATGTGATGAAATTAACATATCTCACTTTAAACATGTAATGTTTTCTATAGTGACAGCATTTGAACTTTATTCTTTTGTAACTGTATACTAAAACTGTATTCACCTTGCCATGCAGTAGATCTCTGCAAAACATTCCTGCTAACTTGTTGAGATTTTTACGTCTTTGGGCTTCCATGTTACAGAACACACCACACACTCATGTCACAAGCCCTTTTATTTTCTAGCAGTCCTACTGTGTTTGACTGCATTATCAGAGTGAGCATGTCCAGGTATGCCCTTTCTTTGACATCTTAGTGATTTCTGAAGTTGACAGACACATATGCAGGGCCTCCAAAGCACATGCTCAGTTAATATTTCAGGTTGAAAAGTGACTTGGGCAGGAGGAGTGGGACCAGAAACCCTGTGACAGAGCATGTGTATGGGTACTGCTGAAGGAACAGGTGTGCTCATGGGACACTCACAGGAGACCTCTGCCTCTCTTTGAGAAGCTTTTCTGTCCCATGTGGCTGAGGGAAGCTGTGGGACGTGTAGGAAAGGGAGTAATTATGCCAGCGGTGTGGAAAGCAAAGGGTTGAAAGGATGAGTCTGAGATGAGGTAGAGGTTCTGTCCGGGTAGGAGGTGACATTGGCTGAGCAGGGGTACGTGACAGAGGCAGTGAGAGAAGAGGAACGCAGAGCAAAAGTAGGGAAGCAAAGATCTTCCCTGGCTTCTGAGCTGGGAGATACCTCTGAGAGCTAGAGGAGGGAAAAGAGCCTTAACCACATTGGACCTGCAGAACCAGAGGAACCTGAGCTAAGAACAGCTAGAAAGGAGGTCAAGACCTGTCTAACCTGTTCTCTTTCTGTGTATACTGTTGAGGTAACTGGGTATTTACCATCTGTGCACACCCCAAATGCTTGAGGCCTATCTTTTTTTCTACAACCCTTTCTAGCTCCTCCTGGCAGTGTGTGAGAAGAGCACTCCCATTGGTACCAGCTGCCAGGGAGCCATCCTTCCATCCATAACCAATGTCATCAATCTGGCTGACAGCCATGACCGAGCTGCCTTTGCTATGGTCACCCATGTCAAGCAGGAGCCTCGGGAACGAGAGAACAGCGAGTCCAAGGAGGAGGTAAAGGCTTTGGTCTGGATGAGCAGATTCCTATTCCTGATTAAGAGTTATATATTAGCAACAGCCATATATCAACTGTAGTTTCCTCCTGAAAGCTCTTAGTGTAGTCACTTAAGTTCAATAGATTTTCCTAAAATTGAGAAGGATCTTGTATTGGCCAAATTTTTGGCAGTGTTTCCTTTAGTTGTTGGCTTTTGGAAAGACAGTTCCCCAGTAGAGTGAAAGGAAAGACTGTCTACTCTTTGTTATACCCAGAAAATCTCTTTTCTTTCAAAAAATGTTTATTTGTCAAAAATGTAGGAGTTTTGTGTTTTTTTTTTTTTTTTTTCGGAACAGGGGATTGAACTCAAGGCCTTGCACTTGCCAGGCAAGCACTTATTCAACTGAGCTATCTCCCCTGCCCCAAAAATGTAGGAGTTTTATTTGTTGGAGTTTCTTTTAACTCTTTGACCTTTTGATTTTGCTTACTTTTTAGGATGTTGAGATAGATATTGAACTAGCTCCTGGGGATCAGACCAGCACACCCAAAACCAAGGAACTTTCTGAAAAGGACATTGGAAACCAGCTGCATATGTTAACCAATAGACATGACAAGTTTCTTGACACTCTTCGTGAAGTGAAGGTCTGTATGCAAGTTTAAAAGGGCAGGTGTGTCATTTCCTGCACACCCCACCTGAATATTTTGACTCCTCAATCAGGATTTTTCCACACTGGTATATGCTTTTCTTTTACTAGGTACTCTT